AAAAAAAAAAAAACAATTATGCTTGTCAATTTCGTTTCAACAAAATAATCTTATAACATACCAAACATATACTATGAAAAACATTGAAAACAGAAAAACAAACATCCATTTAGAAACTAATTTGTACATAAACTAATATACCAAAAATAAACTAAGATGTACTATAATTGTGCACAATATATGTACATATGTTGTACATATATTGTACATATACTGATCATAAACTAATTTTAATGTACAGATTGATCTGCGAATTTCCTGCAACACCTCTGCGGCGGCTCCTCCTCCTCCTCCGGCCCTTCCACCACCTTCCCGCTCCCCAACCGGAACGGTCTCCTACTCCCGTTCTTAAAACAGAAAACTCCATTACCTTGGCGTAGAAACCGGATCTCCACTCGCCGCCGCCAATCCTTAATTTCTCCGTCGTTTTTCCCTTCATCCCGGTGGAATCGCGCGATGCCGGCCACTCATCGACCTGACTCTCCCCATACACGAGAACTTCGGCGAACCCAGTTTGGCCTCCGTAAACGTCGTTTTATTCTGTTTGGGGAAAAGCCCCGAACTCGTCGCCTTGCATGTCCTCCACTTCGAATTGGCGAACGCCGCCTTCTGAGTCCACACTGCTTGATACGAGTGCTCGATCGCCTGTGTGCATCCCCACCGGTACCTGGAGTTGGTGGGTCGCCTGCTATGGGAGGCAATTTCGTTTTTGGCATGAAGATGGAACCTAGGGTTTACAAATGTTGTAGTTGAGTTGTTTGTTCGTGGGTTTGGGGTTGTGAGATAATGCTGAATTGATTATGTGCGATAATTGGGGGGTAGTTTTGATTTCATTTGGTAACTTATCCCACAAAATCAACATTAACTGACCCAATATATTATTGTTCTTATTTTCGTATAAATGCAATACAAATGACAAGAATTAGTAGTTTTGCTAAATTTAATTGTTGAAGTGTAAAGTTGTAAATAAATATATATGGAGTCGTGCACCATATAATTTCCTCAAAATAAAATTTGTTATCCTTCAACTATCATGTGTTTTTTTACCTCATATTTTTAACAAATTAAAGTGAATCTAAACTTAAGTGGGTCGCTGTGTTATAATTTGTAAACTAAAAGGTACAATTAGACGGTCAATAATCATATTTAAGTTAGGAAAATGCTACGGTCTCATTACGAAACAATTCCGTCGGCTAACTATTAGATCATCATGTAACCGTCAGAGATAGTTGATCTAACAGTTACAAATCCCAACGAAATAGTTTCGTAACGAGACTGTAGGTAACATGACTTGTTCAATATTCACACCATGTGAATTAGAAGATAAATTAAATGACAATGGCATCCATTTGCATCATTGACTCGTTGGTCCCCACTTTCATTTAGCAGAAAGTATCTTTGGTGAAGATGCATTTTTGGATATTGCATCAAAGGGCTTTGCTTTTGTACAGCTTTGCATCAAATCCTTTTATTATTTTTACAAGATATTTTCTTGGGCAAATAAAGATGAGGAAAATAATTGGGCCAAAAGGACATATTCTCATTCGTTCAATATAAATAAATATTGATAGACAGGACAGCACACAACCAAAAACAAAATCATCAATGTCTCTATCAAAGCTTCAACAATGATATGACAAATCATTTCTTGTTTGTTTTTTCCTAAAGAATGGAAAGTAAAAGGAAAGAAAGAAAATTGCCATTCATTAATTCTTATATCCCCCCCCCC